TCCCAGTACTTGGCCATCTGGTACAGGGCGAGAGCTTGGCCGTGGCAGAATGTTACCTGTTGACGTCAACAAGCCTCTCGGTGGGAAGGGCAGCATAACAGTGGATAGAGAGGAGGACCTCCATCCATGTCCAACAGCCTGCAGTGTATCCAAATAACATAAAGACATATGACCTTTATTAAGAAATAATGATCTGCATTTGACATAATAAAGGAAAAGTTATGCAAAGCTGGAAAAATACTAACATAGTAAAATATTTAATATTATTTTAAATATATATATTTTTTAAACCATTAACATGAATTCTGAACCTACTACAATTGAAGGGAATCTATTTTATTTTTAAAGGGGCAAGGCAACGTAGGGATCCACAGTCGTAATGTTATGCCGAATCCAAAAAACAAAACAGAAAAGGAAAGCAGAAAAAGAAAAACACCGAACAAACAATCGAAGATTTGGACGTCCTGTTTATGGCTCTCCACCAGAAAACAGGAGTCATTACCATAAGGTTATGTCCAATTTAACAAGCAATGAACAAATAATCAAAAGGGACAAATAATCAAAAGAAGCGAACAAATAATCAAAGACGTTGACGCTTCCAGGATTAGAAAGACCAAAACGCACAGGGGAAACTCGGAGTTCAAATATCAATTTTCCTTTTTGGTTCAACGTTAAAGAAAAGAAACTTAATGTACCCGCAAAAAATGGTCCGGAAATCCTGGCCTCGTTCCAAAGCGCCAAGTGCCCAAGGAAATACATGGGACAAATCAGTTCAAGCCTGGAGCAGCCCATGGCCATGCCCACTTCCGAGCACACACCTTCTTCCCCCTCCCCGCCGCCCCCCCCACCTTGCCACCCCCTCCCTACCGGAGTGTAACAGAGATCAAGGCACATGCAGAATTAGTTAATTAATTGCTGCTTTGCTAGGCTACCAGAGTGGCCTGGGACCACTTGCCCCGCTGGGCCAAAACAATATAAAACAAAAATAAATATAATTTTATTTTATTTTATTCGTAAAGAACTTCAATGTGACCCTGAGGCAAAAGTTGTTCAGTTTATTTTCTGCATAACGTAGTGCACGGAAAATGAGCGATAGCAACTTCAGAAACCTAGCAGCATCATACACATGAGACCAGATAGTCGTGACCTCGAACCAAAAGCAGAATTGCATCACAAATCCCACCAAATAATAGTACAGCAAAAGCTCATAAGTGACAATGTTCGAGTAGTCTCATCATCATCAACAAAGAACCAATGTCGACATCCTATCTGGCGCTCGCCGCCCAGACTACAAATGGCAGATCCTATCTAGCCTATCTACAATGCCGCCGTACGCTTCAAGCACCAGGTATGTCTCTCGTATCACTCACAACCTCGTTCTCCAACTCACAGATGCCATATGCACCCAAGGACCACCATGCGCCCCATCCAGCATACAGCAGCGCAGCTCGGCTATGGCTGCCTGCTCCTTCCAGCTCGCCCATGAGCGCGTGAGCGCTGGCCAGCGTTAGTGCAGCAGCGCTTGCGCAGCATGCAGCCAGTGCCCGAATGTCCAATGCGTGGGCAGCCCTTCCCTATATCGAAGTGGCCTGCTGCTGCGTGCGGTAATGCGGTACTGGGCCCCGGCCCAGAAGCTTCCGGTAGGCCCCACGAGGCTGAGCCTGACAGTCCAGAGGAAACAGGCCCAGGGCCTGTGGTGGTTACTGGCGCCCAACCGCCCTCAGCCTTTGTTCGGTCCATGTTGTGTATCCGGCCCATGGCCTGCCCTAGTTACATACGATGAAAGGCAGCCTGGGCCTAGGCGCTTCCAACCAACTGGCGCTGCACAACTGCCTGAATTTCCCCAGTTGCGTAGTGACCCCAAAAATGGCCTGTAGGTCTCGGTCGAGCCTGCCTTCACTTAGGGCGGCCGACTGTGCTGAAAATACGGGCCCAGTAGGGTGTATCAAGGCCTCATGCCTCGCATTCCCTCCTCCATACTTCGCTTGTCTTCTGAGAAGTTCATTCAATTTGGTGCTTTCTTTTCTGCATCAACTTCTTATAGTGGGCGACAACCTGCGGTGCAGTCTGCATCAGCTCCTCCCATGTGAACCATCTATCCTCCTTTGGATCAGTGCGATGTCTGAACCGAACTCTGTACTGCAGCTTGGGCTTCGGAGGATGTCCCCTGCCTGTCGGTCTTGAAACCGGCATTTCCTTGTGGTCCACGATGTCGTCGATGTCGACCTCTCCGTCCATGGTTGGGGGCAGCATTGATCGACGAGTGGGAAACTGATCAGTTTCTTTGGAAGGAGCGAGCTTTGATGCGTGGAAGACAGGGTAAGTGCGAAGGTGACCAGGGATCTGAACGACATATGACGACCCATCCGGATCATCTCCGACAATATCCAAAACCTCCCAGGGTCCAAAGTACTGTGGCATGAGCTTACGGGATATTCCGTGCTCTTGTCCCAGTTCTGAGGACTTGACCCAGACTCTATCCTACCTGGAATGTAGATGGGTGGCGGTGCTTATTCTCAGATTCTATCATTACCTCCTGTGCCCTGGTGCACCTGATCTACCGCCTGATGCATCAGGTTCTCATATCGGTAGGCAAACTCTAATGTACCAGGTGGATCAGTTAGCTGATTCTCAGGTCGTAAGAAGTCTAGAGGCAGTCTAGGCTTGAAGGTCAGTAGCAGGCTGTTAGGACTCACGCCTGTTGCGCTGTGCACGGCATTATTGAACAGACTGGCAATGAGGGCAAGTTTCTCATCCCAGTCCACCTGGTTGGGCTTAATGTAATGCCTCAGCGCGGTTCAGCTGCTCTGCTTGTCCATTTGCCTCTGGGTGGTTCCCTTAAGTCATCTGCAGCTGTGTACCTTGTTCGGTAGCGGCAGCCTTCCACAACTCGCTGGTAAATCGCACGTCGTGGTCACTCACAATAGACTTTGGCAATCCAAAATCCCTGACCCAGTTTTCCTTGAACAACTTGATTACGTACTCAGTCTTGGCTGTTGCAGGCATTGCCACTAACCTAGCATACTTACTAAACCTATCCACAATGACATAGACATATCGCATTCCACTCTTGCTGGTGACCAGCGTATCCATGAAATCCATAGACAGGCTCTCAGCGGGCCTTTCCGGAATCGGAAGGGGCTTCAGAAGCCCAAGAGGGGCCTGTGTACGTGGCTTGTCTCTCTGACAAACCTGACAAGTCTCCACGTACAGCTTGGTGTCTCTCATCATTGTGGGCCACCAGAACCGCTGCAGCAGATTGGCTGCAGTCTTCTTATATCCAAAATGTCTTGTGGCATCATGACACTTTCCTAAAAATAAACTACGCAAAGACTCCCTGTTTGGCACACACAGACGTTTATTCCCTGCCTTCTCAACGAACAGCAAACCGTTGACCAACTCAAACTCGGCAGAAGTCACCTTGTCCTTCGCCTCGAGTCTGTGTATCATCTCAGACATAAACTGGTCCTCGCGATAGGCTTCCACCAAAGAGCGAGTGACATCATCCGCAAGCCCGGACTCGGTAATCAGCGCACCAGAGAAATCAGGCCTACGTGATACGCTGAAATCAGGCCTATGTGATACGGCATCAGCAACTTTATTGTACTCCCCCTTCAGATACTGGGGTTCGAAGTCATACTGTTCAATGACTTCGATCCAACGCTTCAAGGCATCTGAGAGTACTGGCTAGGTTCACATCCACTTCAGGGTCTGATGATCAGTCCTGACGATGAAGAACCTCCCAAGGAGGTAATGTCTCCAATGGGTCAGTGCCTTGTAAATCGCGTAGAGCTCTTTCTCATAAGTGGACTTAGCCAACTTCTGAGAGGGCATCTTTTTGGACAAGTACTTGACTGGCCTCAACTTTGGCCCCTCCTGCTGCGCGAGCACGGCGCCTATGCCATATTGGTTAGCATCCGGGGTTACTATAAACGTCTTGTCAGGATCAGGAAGTTTCAAGACCTCCTGATGTGTCAGTGCATGCTTCAGATGTCTGAACGCAGCCTCGTACCTATTTGTCCACTCCCATGGGGTGTCAAGGCGAGTCAGGTCCGTCAAAGGGGCGGCGACTATACTATAGTTCTTCACAAAGTTGAGATAGTAGTCGGTCATCCCTAAGAAGGACCTCATCTCAGTTACAGACTGAGGATGCGGCCAGTCACGAATGTTGGCCACTTTCGCGTTATCGGGCTTCAATCCCTCTGCGGAAATCGCATGACCCAAGTACAAGATACGGGTGCGGCCAAACTCGCACTTCTCACCGTTGATCTTGAACTTGTGTTGCCTGAGGAGACTAAGGACTTTGTCTAAGTGGGCTACATGCTCCTCGACAGTCCTACTGAAGATAAGTATGTCATCGAGGTACACGATGACAAACTTGTCCAAGTAGTCATGAAAGATCATGTTCATCGCGTGCTGAAAGGTGCCAGGAGCATTGCAAAGGCCGAAAGGCATCACCACAAACTCATACAGACCGTACCTGGTCTGAAATGCGGTTTCGTGTTGATCCTCGGGCGGTATTGCAATCTGATGGTACCCGCACTTCAAATCTATCTCACTGAAGTACCGGCACCCTTGCACTCGGTCCAACAAGTCATCGATGCGCGGTAGGGGCTCTCGATTCTTGACAGTGATGGCATCGAGGCCCCTATAGTCAATGCACATCCTCATAGTTCCCCCCTTCTTTGGAACGAATAGGACTGGAGATCCATAAGGGGAAACACTCGATCGGATCCAACCCTTTTCTACGAGTTCCTTGAGTTGTCGGCAAAGCTCATCAAGCTCGCCTGGAGACATCCGATAGATCCTACCCTTCGGGATGCTAGACCCTGGGACAATCTCTATTGCGTGGACGAACTCCCTCTCAACAACCCCTTTCGACTCTTCAAATAGATCAGGGTATTTAGCAACTACTCCCTCTATCTCGGGCGGCATTTTCACCGGCTCGCCTGCGGCAAAGACATAAACTACATACATACTCTCCTCCGGATTTTGCTCATAATAGTTATACAACGCGGCCACACACATGCATCCGTAGGACTCGATCAGACTACTAATTTTAAACTTACGTAATATGGCGGTCCCCCCATCTGGCAAAGTGTGCTTGACCACTTTTTGGTCCCAGTCAAACTGGGGTT